CACTTTACACAGAGCCAAGGCCTTTTCTGCCTCTCACACACCAGTGAGGAGGCCAGGTGGGCACAAGGCAGGACAGCTGATCCCACTGACCCAAGGGATTTCCCATCCCATCCCATCCCATCCCATCCCATCCCATCCCATCCCATCCCATCCCATCCCATCCCATCCCATCCCATCCCATCCCATCCCATCCCATCCCATCCCATCCCATCCCATCCCATCCCATCCCATCCCATCCCATCCCATCCCATCCCATCCCATCCCATCCCGTCATGCTCACCATACAGAGCTGTGAGGAGGAGGAGGAAGGGGGAACATTCTGGATGATGGAATTTTTCTTCCCAAGTAACCAATAACAGGTAATAAACCCCAGATTTCTGGGTATAGCTGTACCTGCCTGCCTTTGGGGAATTCTCTCAACTCACAGGTTTCCTCCTTTTTGACTTTCCACTTCTCTTTTCCATCCCACAGTGAGGAAGTGAGCAAGAGGCTGCATGGGGCTGAGGTTAGCCAAGACAAACTGTTAATTAACTACGAGTTAACTGGGGAGAGGAAATAATACTGAAAATATTTCCAAGTAGAAAAAACCTTTTTGAGAGCACAATTAAAGCCTAGCTCTGAAGGTTTAACAATTACTCCAATTTATGCATATCCTGATTTTATGGGTATTTGCCCTTTCTGTGAAAGCTACTTTTTACAGAAAAGCTTTATTCATATAAAGGCTGCTCTGGCAGAACTATTCAGAGAGATTGAATCCCTTTGAAGCATCCAGAGTAAAACAGGTTCATTTCAGCAAGGTCAATTTGCTTTTCTGGCGTCAGAGTGTGTGGGATCCAACCAGCACAGAGTGTGCTGCCTCTGTCACTGCAATCCTCTTCCAAACCAGCTCACAGTGCACATTTAAAACAACTCTTAAACTGAACAAATATTGTGCAGGCTTCCATCAGAGCTGGATTTCATTTTTTTAAATGGAAGGAGGTCTGAAGAGGTTTACCTATGTGGGAAACTTTTAATTAAAAAGCTGCTGAAAGTCTGCTTTTGCTGACAGGGATAGACAAACTCTGCTCAAGTGCCCATTCAATGAATTTTTACTTTTTAAAGTGTATGCTTAACAAAACCCCAAAGCTTAAATATTTGACAATAGCCAGTGCTATTATACAGTTTGGTAACACTTTGTGTGCTTGTTTTCAGAGTTAGAGATGTTCATGTGTAGCCTGTTGTAAACATTACTCTAGTTTAAAGATTTTATTTAAAAAAAAAAAAGTTGTAATTGCAATCCAAAAGACCATTACACCTTAAGAGCCTCCTGTCAACAAATTTAAGTATATTCAACCCCTCCATCTCCACAGTTCCACTCTTATTCTTACAGGCTAAGGTAAAAATTCGGAGGCTGTCCTTGCCTCAGCTGGATTGGAGAAAGCCCTTCAGAAAAATCAGATTTCAAATTCCACATGACTTGACTTCAGCCCTCACAGCAACTCACAAGACAGTGCCAGCTTTGTACACAGCTAATCAGTGTTGCTTGTTCACCTGAGAGACTTCTATAGATAGTTAAGGAAATGCTAAAAAAGAAAATGTTCATGGATTAATTAGCTGCATATTGAAACTGTCTGGTGATGCTTTCATAAACTGCTCTGTGAGTAGAGTGTAACTGAGAGACTCTGATCTTGAGTAGGCAGAAGTCAAACACTGCCTGCACAGGATCTTGCTCAAGGAAGATTTAACACTGGTCAGATGTTATTAAATAATACCTTCCTTTCAGAGAAACTTTAGATAGAAAAATTATAGTAAGGAAAAAATCCTAGGGGACTTAGTTGCTTTTTTTTAAATTTCATAGAACTGAATTTGTTTGAGGCTTTTTATGTGCCTTTTTATTTTTAGAAAGACTAAATGTAGCAGAGTAAAACTGCAATAGTACATTGTATAAATGCAATGGGTGACATTGTCAGAGTAGGCAATTAATAACAGAGAAGCACTGAAAAGAGATTATTCTCCAGTGCACACCTGCTGCTTAATTGAAGGTACAGTCAGTAGGGATATCTATAGGAATGGGTATGATCCTGTTATTCAACCTGTTTTCTATCCTATAGGATTAAAATATAGGCAATCCTGCACTGCACATCTGCACATGAACTATTTATCCACCTTTTTTAGAGGAAATTGAGACTACTGGCAAACGTAGTGTATAGTTAATTTCGTCATAATAAAAGAAAACCAGGGAGACTTTGCCTCACCCTCTCTCAAGATTTGGAGAAGCTTTGTCTGGATTTATGCAACTAAAATGACAACATTCTGTGATTTCTGCTCATATTGCTGACATCACAAACAAGTCAGTGAGCAGCTATTTAGATATTGCCTCTCCAGCTGAGCTGGCTGCTACTGAGATGGAGAGGAAAAATCCTGCTGGATGAGCAGGTGAAATTTATTCCTGATGTCTTTATTGAGCCAAAGAGCAACCACTGTTCCTGATCCCAGTGGATCCTGTTTGCTGGGAGATTCACTGAGCACAGTGGATGGTGTTTCAGCTACCAAGTAGTTGCTAATTACATCTCACCTCACCTGATTTAACTTAAATGGATCAACCCTTCCAAAACACTTCGTCCAGGGCCCCTTTTCAGATTACTGCCTGCCTACAAGGCTTGATCTCCTCAGCCATGTCTCTAGACAAGCATTTCAGATGCTGAACTTTTCACTGAATGGCCATGAGAGCTGCTTTGAGATTTACAGCTGTCCTCAACTTGAAGTTATTGAGCAATTTAGTGCTGCACTAATTGGCAAAAGAGTATTGTTGCCTTTCCCTGCACAAAAAAAGCAGCTATTCAGTCTTAGGTCTAGTTCTAAAATAAGTAAAATTACAGGTAAACTGTTTAATTATACACAGGCATCACAGAAAATTCTTCAATGCTACAAAGTTCCCTTTCTGCACAGAGGTAATTTAACCCAGGGTTATTTGTACATCAATGCTATGTGGATCACAACACAAAGCCAGCAAGCAGGAATTCTTAGATGAAGACAAAGGCTGTATCCCTGGGGTACTTCTGAACATCAACTGAACCATCAACTTAACTTTTTGTGTTATGGTTTTTTGTAGGTCCTCTACCTAACAGTATGAATAGGGCAGTGTCATAAATGCTCTGAAAATTAAGGCAAGGAGGGAACATAGGGATAGGACACATCTCCAAAGAGGGAGAAAAAGCCAGTATTTCCACAGAACTACATAAAAAAAGTATTTTAGTTAAAATCCAGCCAGACAGACTCTATTCAAAACTTACTGGGTTATTACAAAGCAAAAGAAGCACTAGGCAAGGTACTTTAAATGCATGAAACCTTGACGTAAGCCATAGATCATGGACAAGATGCAGGAGACAAAAATCAAGAGCATGCCTGTTGGGAGCACCTGAAAAATACATGCAGGGTGACACCTGAATGCCTCAGGTTTCCGAAATTTAGCAGTGCCAGAGCAAGGCTGGGTGAGCTCTGTGCTCTGCTCTGCAGCCACAGCTCAGAGCTGAGGATGCTGGCAGGGGTCTGCTCCCTTCCCAGGGTGGGTTTTGACTGCTCAGCAGTGCTTGGCAGCCGTGTCCTGCAGCAGGGAGCTCCTCTCCATCCCCTCCTGGCAAACCACTTCAGGGTACCCTTCCCCACGGCTCTCCTTCCCAGAAGCACAGTGGCACAATGCAAAATTTCAGTGCTGTGAATGAGCACACCAGCTCAGACCAGCAGGATGAATTTGTTAATCTCTGTGGTGCTGTATCCTGGTTTGCCACTCTTGCTCCCAAGGGATCCTAACAATATTGCTTGACATTTAGGTTTGAAATTGGAAGACCTGGAGCACAGCAGTAAAAAGGCAAATACTAAACCTCTGCATTTCCTGATGAGTATAATTCTGCCTTGATGTATAGAAGTTTGGGGTACACCAGTCTGCTGGGCCCCCTGCAGGAATTAAACATCTACTCTGGCACCTACAAAAAATATCAAGTCAAAAAACCTGTTTCAGAAAAAAGCAAAGAGCTGAAACAGCTATTTTGGCTTACAGTTTCAGAATATAATATCTTAATTCTGCCTAAATCCTGCCTTAGGCATGGAACTGTTTTCCAGATCTAGCCCTTAGGACTTCTAAAGTGTAATGACAAATGCTACATGTTACAATTGTAAGTGACATGCAATGTCATTTATGCCATACATACTATTCCCTTATGCTACTCCGCTCTCACACTAACATAAATATTACAGATTTACAGCTGACTTAGGACAGTAACAGATCAGAATCTGATTCAGGCAACACACAGAACTGTCACTGAGGATCACACAAGCAGAGTTTTTGTAAAAACCTTCACTGTGTGCTCTACCTGGTAAATCACTGATGAGAGGAAATATGGAGCCATTCCTTCTAAAATATATATTATCTTCCTATTAGAGATAGCTCTAAGCCTCACTTTTATCTCTGAAAGTCCCTGACCTCTGGCAAGTCTCAGATTCCAAATTTAGAATAGCATCTGAATTTTGCAGCTGGTCTTTCCATTCATAATGAGCCAAGTCCAAACTGAATACATCCAAATTAGAGGGGAGTATCAAACTCTGGACTTACATCTGAGTTCTGCAGCAGAGGCCTCTCTCAAACTCTCATCATGTCATCATGAACATGTAGCCATGATGTAGAATAATCTATTCAAATCACCCAGATCTTTTTTCACAGGAAACCCAGGTAATCCTGGACCAAACAGTTGTTAGTGATATTAAGCACAAGTTGTCACACATATTAATGTTAACACAAATTAATCAGCCTAAATGCCTGGTGTACCAGACACTTGTGATTGAGAGGAGGGTGGGGATCAGATCTGTATACAAACATCTGGAAGTGAATAAAAGAAAAGCCATCACGCCTCTACGAGTCTTTTATCTGCTTTGCCAATTCTGTTAAAAAAAAAAAAAAATACAGAAAATTCACCTCTATAGAGAAACCTAAAGTTCAGTTGCTCCTCCCATTTCTATTTGCAGCTTTCTTCTCCTAATGTCAACTCCATCTGTCTTCCACAGGAACTTAATGTCTTTTGAATAGTGTATTTAATCACTTGCAAGTTTTGTTTGGCTGTACTGTGCCCTTCATCTGTCAGCTTCAGTGCTCACCACACAGAGCACCCACCCCTCCACCCACGGATCTTGCCCCTCCTTTTCAGTAAATTGCATTTTATCAGGTCACTCTTCTGTTGTCCTGAGGTTAATTTTTTTCCACTCAACCTGATCCATTTCTGCTTTCTAAGGGTATGAATCCCCCCTTGCTCTCTCTCCTTTTCTATCCCTGGTTTTACAGAGAATCCTCTCTGTCTTCTGTCTTCCTCTCTGTCTTCAGAGCCTGCTCTGGCATCTTTGTGCCTGTAAGTGTGATTTTTCTACTTGGAGCAGAGAAGGACTTAAAATTACAGGAAGTATCTCTTCCAGTAGCAGCAGTTTGTTTAGTGCAGGGCTGTTGTTACACAGTGATTTACTTGATTTTTTTTTTTAAGAATCATTTTGCATTATTCATTTCTGATAAATTATCCAGAAGCTCACTCAAACTCCATTCATTCACTGATACTATAAATGAATGCTAACATATAGAGCATTATTCTCCTGTATGGATATACAGGAATTCTAAACGAGTACTATTATTCCTCTTCTAATTTTACAGCTATAGTTGCAGGGAAGTACAGAGCTATTCAACCCAAAATCTTCATGGCTGGAACACCCTTGACATTTCCTTCTGGCTGCTACACCAGTCTACCCATGGTACTGATTTTCCAGAAAAAAATCAACCAAACATCATCAGATATAAGCAAGCTTGCTTTGTTTTTTCCTTACCTCCTTTGTTGTCCTCAGGTGTTTCAGTGTGGCTCCACTTTAGGAGAAGGCAACATTTCTGTAAATAGTCAGTGAGAGGTGTCAGACAAGTTTGGGAAGATTTCCTACTGTATTCTGGAGATAAACCCCCCAGAGCCCTGACTAGAGAGATGCTTTTGCAAATTTGGGACTCTGTGCCATTGGAGAGCACAGCCCAGGTTTTGATATGTTTTAATCTGAGCTCAGGGCATTCTGGGACATGGTTTGAAGATTTTATTCTGATATATCCAGTAAACCCCAGGTATATTTTGCAATGTTCTCCCTCTGTGTAAACAGCTATGTAGTGTTGACTTCCAATGTCAAACCACAAGGGAGCTGATGGAGCAATGAAAAATATAAGCTACAGCTGAAACAACAGTTCTTAATTCCCCAGATGATCAGAATCACTCTCCAGAAATACTAATGGACTGTCCTATTTCTGTGCTGGGTGCCTCTAGGAGCAAGTCTCCTGTGAAGCTTTGATTCAATGCATTTCCATTTGCTTGTGCTATAATATTTACCCACTTTATTAGAATAATTGTCCCACTGCTTAGTGGAACTAAACTTTTGTATCAGAAGTCAAATATGCTAAATATGTTTAGCTCAGGCTAAAATATGCTTATGTTAGCAAGGGGACACCTCCATTCTTTGTTGCTCACAGGTCTGGATCATAACACTGTTCCCTGGGGGCATGTAAGGGCCATCAGAAAGATAATCCCACTCCACTCCTGAAAAGTGAGCCATGGCCATCTGCAGCTGCTAACATTGCTAGGGAGCAGAGTCAGAGATAACACACCTATCCATTTTTCATTAGTTACCCTTACTGTTGAAGGGAAATAACCTCAATTTATTGGAAAAGTGAGAGCTTTTACAGCTACAGGAAAGCCCATCTCCTCTCCTGATAGTGAATGACATGATCCTAAAGCATTCTAAGGAACAGTTACAGCTGCATCAGGTTTTCTCCTGGAGGAATGGGGAGAAATGTACAGATGCAAACTTTCCCTCAACTGACTATTTCCAGAGAAGTAAAATTAATATGGTTTCTGAAGTAGTTTTTTGCACAAGCATGGACTGAATTCAATGGACTCCATGGCATGAACAGTTGCTCATCACAAAAAGAAAAAAGCCAGATAAAAATTAAATCAAAACAAAACCTTATAGACTCAAAACCTTGTGTTCACATTATATTCTAAGCCATTCTTATTTCAGCCAATGTCCATTTTTCTCCCAATCGCCAATTCCAAAAGAAATCTACTCAAATTCAATATTTGTCTTTTCTTTTTCTCCCAACTCTTTCCCCCATACTGTTTCTTCCAGAGAATCCACAATGTTGAATCTGTCATTACATTCATTTCCATGGCAACAAATGGGATGCCATAAAGAGTGTTTTAATCCAAGGTCAGAGTGGTAGATAAAAGATTCTGAAAGCAGAGAATTCTTGCTCAATATCAAAGGTAATTACAAAAGGACTGTAGAAGATTACTTGTTAATTTTCTTTTATGTACACAGAAGTTTCCTTCTCTTCACAAAGGACATTCTCAGCTTTAAGTGTTGAACTCTCAGAATAATTTTTATGGGTAGAAGTGATTTAATATGCTAATATTTATCTCATTTTTCTTGATTATATGACATGCATCTTTTTTCTTATCAGCTGATAAGCTAGTTTATATTAAGATATGAGTAGAAGATGCTGTGCTTGATTATCCTCAGTGGCATCTGCTTATTTCAGCAGGCTGTGGGAAAATACAATTTATGAGAGCAGAAATAGGCATATTTATAGTGACTTTTGGACTGATGAATTCCCAATCCCTTAAGAAGCCTGCATGGATCCAAAAGAAATTAAACTCTTGATGATATCTTGATATTTCCAAGGTTTTCCAGTCCCATGGGAGTGCTGCTAAAAGGATCACATAGGACACAGTCTAAAGAAATGCAGCCCTTTATCACCACCTTTCTGCAGTTCAGCACCTTAACCAGCCATTGCTGCAGCCAGACCCTCCTGTGGATCTGGAAATAAATAAATTGGAAAATGCACAGTCTTCTATCACTGGAACAACCCAAGACTTTCACAAAAAGACCGTTAATAGCCAAGAAAAAATAAAGTACAGACATATTTCTCCTAACAATTCCGAATTAGCCAGAGACTGCGAGTGTAGTTTACTCAGGAGACATGCTGCAATCACAGCTGACAGACTTCTGTCAAGCTATGCTCTATGAGGAACAGGAAATAAAGTCTAAATCACTCTCTAAAACAGCACTAATGTTGTGACACAAACTGAGGTAAGTGATAAAAGGAACACATAAAAGAAAATATTATACAATTTTTTTTTCCTAGGGTTTAGGCACACCAGGGTGCCTAGTTAAATCCTTTTTTAAATGTGTCCTGCTAAAGAATCAGAGTGCATATGGCAAGGTCCTGTCCCACCAGGAGCCTCCTTTGATGGTACTTTTTACCTCAGCCCTCACGTCCTTCTCACTACAGGCTTTGTATTGCCAAATTCACTTTTCTATAACCATCACAGAAAACCTAAAGTATTGAGGGAGCATTCAAGGTAAGATTTGAACCTAACCGTGAAGTTTTGAGGGGATGAAAGAGACTGGTGGAAGTTTCCTTAAAAAGCCCATTGGAAACCTGATTTAACTGGAAAATAACTGACACTTCAGAAAAATGCATAAAACAGCCTTCTTAAGAAATCTTCCAGTAAGATAAAACTTGTCTAGTCACACAATGTCTCACCACTCACTGAGCAATAAAAGCAGAAATGACAACCACATGAAATTATATTATGTGGAGTAGCTTGAAGTCTGTTCAGAAATTCAGTTTTATGCTCTCACCAAAGCATTTCATCTTTCAAATTACATATTCATTTTAAACTTTTTGTCTCTGTTCTTGCTTTGGTAATAAAGGAACTGGGTTTAAGTCTGCTTTGGGTCTATGTTTTGGTTTTTTGTTGTAGAGGGTGCTGATAACCCAGAGATGTTTTGCTACCTGGGAACAGTATTACAGGCAAATTAATAAATCTTAATACTATAATTATACATAATTATCAATTGCCAATAAAAGCAATGCCATTTTTTCAGAATGATATGCCTCTTTCCTGATTTAAATCACACTTTCAAGGGGCCTTTTATATACAGTTGGTTTTTTTTTCTTTAGTCAAATATTTTCTGATGTGCTTAATACTGAATGGATGAAACATTATCTATAGAACTTGAGCCAGAATCAATATCCATAGGAAAAAATCCATCCAGAAGACTATGTGCTTCTTTTCATATTAAGAAAATCACTTCAGTCAAAGAAACTGAAAAATGAACAGCTGGGCAGGGTAAGAGAAATGTGGTTTTTTGAGTGAATTTGAATGTCCCATTGTAATTGTGACTTTGTCACTTTTTTTTTTTTGACCATAGGAAAAAAAAAAAAAGTCCAAAAACCTACTTATTTCAAATAGAAACTCCAAATGGTCTCTTCTGCCTTTTCCTGCACTGACATTTTAATTGTATAAAGTCACAAACCTGAGCCTCCAGGGGAGCATGCACTCTCCTGCTCCTGTGTGTGACTTGCTAGAGAGAAAGTAATCTGTGATGGTATTGTGCTAATCCTTTGAAATGACATATTAAATATTTTGTCCATCCAGATACACAAAATAATCAGTCAAATCAAATAAATAATCAAATCATAATATTTTGATAGTTACAAATTGATTTTTCTAGGCTCCAGCGTGTAGCCCACCAAGTGATCTTAACTTCTCCACACAGGACTCACAGGGAAGCCTGTAGCAGCACATTTCTGTAGAAATGTTTCCTAGAAGTGGTTTTTTATAACTGCTAAAATGCCTAAAGCAAATCACACTGTGTATTGCAAGGAAGCTCATGGGTAGATGTTCAAATGTCTTTATTTCAACAAATGGAATACATACATTCCCCACATTCTTTCATTTAGATCTCAGTGATACTTTTATATCTTCTTTGCTTGCTTTTTTAATCATTTACAGCCTCTGAGAAAAATAGGAATAGTCCTCTATAAAGTGGTATGTGAAAAGCCAGCTCTGCAGTGCTTCTTGCACCCTAAATGTTACATTTGCACATAGTTAATAGCAAGACATCTAAAGAACAGTGCAATACTGGTTTGCATTCAGCTGTCACTGAGGGGAACAAGAAACCCACCTATCAAAAATTAAGGCTTATTTAATGTCTGCTTCATGCCTGAGTGTCTCTGTTATAACTCAACTAAAATCTGTAGTTTTCTACTGACATTAACTGGCAGAGCTTTTCCTGGCTAACTAGAAAGACAGGAAGAAACAGAATTAATGTGCTAAAATGTTAGGATTTTTTTTTTTTTTTGAGAAATCTGAGAGCAAATATCTGAGTTCCTGCCCCAAACTACTGCAAGGAATCTGAGAATGAGCCTCAGCCTGAAGCACTCAGTGAGTGAGCCCTTCATTGCCCAGCCCACTGTGGAGAGTCTGACACAGCCAGATCTCCACACCTGGGCTGGCCATTTCCCCCTTGGGATGCTTTCTTGATATTTTTTATCAAACATTTTACTCAGTCACTATCTGTGGTGGGGAAAAAAAATCCAACAAATCAAAAAGCACTGCAATATGAGCTTTTCTTAATGCTACAAGAGCTTGGGACTTGTTATATGTACACAAAATATATGGGGACCACTGGTCCCAGTTTGACCTCAAAATATGGAAAGATTATGTGATCTTTAATGCCTACTAACCATTTATCTGTGTTTTTGAAAGCAAGATATGCACTTTGGGCTGAAAATGAAATACTGGAATGATGTTTTCCTCCATCAGAAGCAAGAACTCACAGCACAAGTACAAGCACTGGTTTCAAAGGGAGCTTGATAATACCAACAGGCAGAAAACAATAGTATTTTTATGTCCAAACTCAACAGCACGTTGTAACACAGACTGGGACTTCCCGTTTATCCTCTGACCCTCTTTCCCACTCCTTCAGCATAGTCACAAAACAGGTGGCAGTAGCAACAGGCAAAACATGCCTTTAATCTGAAATTTACAGGTGGAACTGTTGCTAAAAAAAAACCCCATGAACCTTGGAATTTGTTTCTTCCATGAATAAAGGTTTGTTGTATCAATATCCAGTTACAAGCAAGCCATTAAAATTAACAAACCCATACCTTTAAATATAATGCATATATATGTTTAATAGCCTATGAATAACAGCCCTGAGACTACACGTGGCTGAACATTTAATGTAGAGAACATTCATTTCCTCTTGTCAAAATAAGCTCAGGTTTTGTTATTGAAGAGGTGGGAAACAAGATTAATGGTCCCATGGCTGTGAGTTATTTTTAGCTTGTTTCTCTCTCTGCATTCTATTGTTTGCTTGTTTAGTGTAAAGCAAAGGATAATTTATATGAAATACAGTTGGTTACCATATTTGTCTGGCCATTAATTTCACTGTGAAGGATAATGTACATCAATAATCATTTACCTCTAAAAAGTCTCAAGTTGAAGCTTTTTGCTGAGATACTCAAAATGATGTAGAGGAATTGCTATTATCCTCATTAATTTTAATACAAGGCATGTGTCTAAATCATGCCTCTATATCCCAAGATCGTTTAGTAATTTCAACCTATTTTTCTTAATGAGATGGTTTTGCTTAATTATGTAAAAATTTTCATGATTTGGCTATTTAACATCTTCTTAACTTTCTATTACTACAGAAGAGAAAAGAAAGTAGAACCTTATCTGCATACGACACGGAAAAACACAGTATGAGGGTTCTTTGTCAGTGCTTTACCACAGTGTAGGCAAGGAACCTTGATGATTTATATTTAAAGGTCATTATTTTGAGAGACCAGCAGTACCACTGATCAAAACATCAGAGACGATTTCGTTTCAAAGTTATCACTGAATAATTCATTTACTTAAAACTCAGACAAAATAAATATGCAAAACAGTGAGATGATAGTAGACAGCTCCTACACTCCTTTTAATATTAAATGTTTATGTGGGTATATTAGCAAGAAAATCGAATTGAATTAGCAACATCATAATTTGAAACATGAATATCTACGTTTCAGTGGATGGTCAGTATAAACAGTGAAGTAATTCAATAGGTCAGATTCAATTATAGTCAATATACCACCCTACACACTCACAAAATAACAAAATGGAATATAAAAGCACAAGGGAAAATACCTAATAGCCATATAATTCTGAAATATCACAACAAATGGTATATTTGATTATTATTTCATGATTCTTTCAGAAAAAAAAAAAAAAAGGTGAGCCTTTTTGCTTTAACTTAAAAAATTATTTGTGGGTAGAACTTGGCAAGCTTTTATACTGAGATCCTTTCATGTCCAAGCAACTACAGGGAGGAATGAACACTTGAAACAAAGTGGCACTACAGGTGTTGTGGGGAGGCAGTAGAGGTAATCAAGGACTGATCAGGCTGTGAACAAGGAATGCTTTCCCTTCAGAGCACCATGACCAAGCCACAAGAGAGAGCCAGAGAAAGGCAGAGGTTTGAAAGGACATCCCAGACCATTTAGTTCCACCCTCTGTGCCATAGGTAGGGGTGTCAGGTGTGGGACCCAGGATCCAACTCACTTTTCACTCATTTTGCTGCAGATCACTTCAGATTCTTTCATTAAAGACCTTCTCAGCTTAAAGCTCCTAACAGGTGACGAAACTCTCCAGGCAGCCTCTATGCTGCTGTCACCTCCTCTGCTCTGAGCAGCAGCAGGGACAAGTGCTGTGACACAGTGAAGTCTTGTCAATGAAATCAGGCCATTGTCCTGGTGGGTGATAATATCTGAACTGCAAACATGTCCAAAAAGTAAATAAAGTGTGTGATCTGCCTGCCTTTGGAGAGACTGAGTGGGGGAAAAGACCACTATGTATCAAAAAACTTTGGTTCTTTTAAAGACAGTCCTGGGCAGAAGAAAGCTAAAGGATGTTCCCACACTAAATAAATTGATAAAATGCAGGAGACAAGACAAAGGCAAGGAGATGGAAGCAAGTATTTAAAGAGCTTTTCCTTCTCTATTATTAACAAAAGAGCCAAGTGTCCAGCAGGATAGAGTGCACCTGATCTGTGATCACCCCTGCATCTCACAGGGCACTCGTAAGGGAAGCTCTCAGCTTCAGAAGCTGTGCTGGGGGGCAACCCAAATATCACACATCACATCAGAAAGGGAAGCTGGAAGTCACAGGGTAAACTCACCCTCTGCGGCATTATCCAAATTTCAGGAGCTGACTGGTTTAATTTTAGCAGGTGAAGCCTTAAAAGAGGATCTAGAATGGAGAAAAAAATCAGAAGTGCTATTAGAAAAGAATAGGTAACTTCTCTCCTTTTTTTGCATGGTGCCTTACAGGACTTGAACCAAAGCTCACCAAAATCAAAGAAATATTCCACTGATTTCTGAAATCAAACAGAGAGGCTGATCCAACTCCTGATGAAGTAATGCTTTGATTTATAAACCCTCCATTTCTGGAATGGCTCACAAACACTGTCATTGGGTGGGTTGTTCCGTATCACTGCTTTTTAAAGAACAGTAATAGGACAGAAAGGCAATATCCCTGGTAAAACCATACAGCAAATTAACTAATATTATTACAGTTATTGACTAATATTATTACAGTTATGGTCCAGCAGCTGAATAATCAAAAATCATTTAACTCTAGGCACTTAAATATGAATCTAGACATGCAAACAGCAGATTGGCACTGGTCTAAGCTGTCACAATTCAGGTAACTGAGACCATTTAGTGCTGCCCAATGCCTGAGTTGCTGAGCAACATATATCTGAAGTTATATATGACCAGCTGCAAATGGGGGTCCCAGGCAGCTGAAAGCCTTAGCAGCTGACAGCAGCTTTTGCAGATGTTTTCATTGTTAGACTGTAAAAGGCTAAATATTTGCTCTAATTATCATTGAGAGAAGAATAAACAAGGATTTTTTTTTAGGGTTTTTTAAGTCTCAAATGGAGCCCACTGTACCCCTGGGTAGGAATGTGTTGCTGTCGAGGCAGGACGGGAATGTGAAGACTCTGACTCAGAAGGCTGCTGAGAGTAAAACTCCGATTTATTCAAAATACACTGCTCTTTTATACAGAGTTTCGCAAAGACTAAATTTATTGGTTTTGAAGTGAAAACAAGCCACAGCATTGGTGCAAAGTGCTTGATGCACAGTGATAGAACTTAACTATAAACAATGTGAAAAACAAGAGAGATAAAGAATTATTTATATTCTCTCTAGCTCTTTCTCAGGCATCTGCCTGGCTAGAAACTCTTAGTTTCTTTCTTTGACTCAATCTAAGTCCCACAGGAATGCTCCTCCAAAGAGTTGTTTCTCAGGCTTCAAAAAGACAGTACAAGATTTGACTGCAACATAAATGCAGTGGACTTTGGTTCCTGAACATTTTGTACTATGGCAGAGCATCACCAGGAATTGAAAATGAAGCCAAAATTGTACCACCCTAATTGTGGTACTTTCCAAGAGTCCAGGAAAGTACTTGCTCCTGAAAAGGTTTGAGTGCTCCTACCTAACACATCACTGGTAACAAACTCAAAAACAGCTGTTAGAGGAGTATGAGGGACTAATATTAGAAATAGCCAAGCTTTTAGGGTTAATTTTGTCTAAGATAAGGAAAAAACTTAAAGAGTTGTACTTGAAAGATTGTACCCAAAATACTCTTGATAAAGAATTGTAAGAGAAGATGTGGTCAGGACTCGGACATCCCTCATTTTAATTTTGCTGTGAAGAAAATAAAAAGTATAGAGGATGACAACTCTGGCACTTTGGGGTATGATTATCAAGCTCACTGGTTTCACTTGGACCTTTTGGATGAGGTCCAGGCAAAACTAGAGAGCAATCAAACTTTATCAAGGACATCATGAGACAGTTAAAACCCCCAAGATTCATTGTAGTCCCAGTGAGTCATGAGCTGTAACATTTTCATAAATTTCAGTTGAAGATGAAAGAGGATCACGGCAATGTTTAAATCAATGGACCCAGAAACACTTCCAAGATATTAAATATAGGTCTGTGCCCTTGATCACCATGGCTCCATTACTGAGAGAGATTTTTGCATGCAACAGCCATCCTGCTCTGACTTCCACTGAAAAGAAACCCAGCCCACAGATCAGTATCTTCTGGCCATGTCCTTGGTCTGGAACAACCAGCCCAGCAAGTACAGAGCTGAGTCAGCCAGATGCAGCACATCTGTCATCCCAAATTCCCCTTTCCAATGAGAACCAAGCAGAGTAATTAAACAGATCAATATTGGATCAATACACTATATTGAACTATTGTGTGTTAGTTTGATTTTTCTCACAGCACTTGATTTTGTTTCATTGAAAGTGACTCCATGAGTAAATATTTTACAAAATTGAATGGAAAGTTTCATAGGAATGGAAAAACCAAAGGCAGTGCATGCATAGGGAAGGAAATGTTTTGAAAACTTAATTTTCACAAGTTTTCACTTCTCTGGTGAATCGGGTCCTGAATAAGGTAAATACATTTTTGTAAGGCATAGATTATATACACCCCTTTCATATCTCTAAAGAAATGGCTATAGGAGTCATTTTGTCCAAATTAGAGGTCAACTTCCATACTAGATCCTATTTTAATCCCTTTGAAGCTTCTACACCACACTGCCAATGTGCAAGACTTAAAGAGAATTTCTGTGTAGTTTAGGTGTGTTTTAAGACTCCTAAGATAATTTTTAAGCTATAAACTGCTGTCTGCAAAAAACAACATGGTGAACCCTCCCTCTCCAGTACTATGGTGCATCCTAAACCTGATCCCCTTCCACAGGGCTCAGCAGGGCTGGCAGAACCACATTTCTGCCACTGAAGATGGGTCCTGCCATGGGCTTTGGGCTTCCATCTTCTGGGAAAGCCCTGCAGGCTCAGGCATCTAAAAAAGGCACATCAACCCTCAGAGGGCCTTGCTCTAAGATTGGATATTCCCATGCAAACCAAATAATTCCATGGTCAGGACAGGGATCATGATATTACTGGAGATCAGTACATTGGATAGTTCTTCAACTTCCCATTGGAACATATCTGCACAATATAAACATTAAAATATCAATGTAGATCTTATCTCTTACTAACCTCGGGGTAAGAATTATACTTATTCTCTTGCCTTACTTAGCAAGTGACCTTAACAGCTCTGTCTACAGCACAGTTATTCTATTTTTCTCTGAAGCTGCATATCTATGAAAATGTATGATTTCTTGCTTTCAGTTATTTGATAAGGTATTTCTTTCCACAATGTATTATTTCACCTTAACTTCACTGATAGAGCTCTGTTGGTAAAAAAGAGATGAAACATTTTCATCAATAGGTAGGAAGGATGAAAGGAAAATAAATGAATTTTGAATTAACATTAAAATATGAAAGTGAGTTGAGGTTTGTTTGGTTTTTTTTTTTTTTTGTATGTTATGAAAAGATTCTGTAAGTCATACAGCATTCCCAAAATGTTCCACATTTTTGGTATCTTTGCTGCATTTGAAAAAGTAGATACCTCCTCAAAATGGAATTAACAGGCTCTATCCACTCATGGGAGCCTCACTGTCTGCCAAGCTCATTCTCAGAAAGTGACTCTAAATGATTGGGTTAAGCACATATTTAAGGACAAGCTGGAGGAATACTTAAAAAAAAAAAAAAAAAGGATTCATCCCATCCAGAGGAGAATTTAATTTAAATGTTTCCAAGCACTGAAGCCAGCAAAGCTGCTGAAATATGTGATAACATTCAACAGAGGATCCCTCTATCAGGATATGACTCTGAATGTGACTTTCATTATTGCTTGTTTTCCACAAAAGAGCTGGGCACAAGGTCAGGGGCATGACAATCCCACAAAGAGAAAGTAGGTCTTGGCTCAAATGCTAGGCTGGATGTTAAAAGCAGAGAAAAATCTAAAATTATCCAAAGAGGACTACAGGTGATGGCAGGCACTATGGAATATGGAGAAAAAGGACCATTTCAAAATTCACTCTTGTGCATGAATAAAAATCTAAAAGCCCCAGAGCAGCAGCTTCTGCATTAGATTCTCTGTCGAAAGCAAGCACAGAGATTTGAAATTCTTGACTATGGTATAAATATTTGCAGGATCTGCACACAAATTGTACCATCACCTACTTGAACAGATTGCTGTAGATATGGTAAATTACACCACTGATGCATTGGGTTCTGTGCTCTGCCAGGAGGACAATTTAGGGTAATTTTGGTAAAAAAACACCTAAGAGACTGCCAGCTAGGAGTTCTGTACATATGTTTGTCTTCTGCTTCTGCCCTTATCTCTGAACCTCCTGACTGAGGATGCACTGGGCCCCCTTGGAGCACCCTGCATCCATGAGATCTCATTAAATCATCATTACACCCACCCTGCTTCCATGAGATCTCATTAAATCCTCAATAAACCCACCCTGCATCCATGAGATCTCATTGAATCCTCAATAAACCCACCCTGCATCCATGAGATCTCACTGAATCCTTCCATGCTGAAGCAAAGAGTGTTTGGATTACGTTTTCCACTATGTTCAGGGGTGCAGGTGGGAATAGCCCACTCTATCTAAATTCCTTTGCAGCTACAGCTAGGGGTGAGAAACATCAAAAATTCTGTCCTATCACACCACTGGAAATGCAAAAATGAGGTTCTATTTATATCTATTTTCTTTTAGACTCTAAGCACAAATGTACAGTGTGGCACTGTATAATCTGACATATCCACCATTATGCAAGTTTTATTCATTCAAGTTCTGTGTTTTCCCAGCCTTTGTCTATGCCCCTTTCTTTGCACCCAATAACATGTTAAGAATAGATACTATTTCTTTTTTATATGATAACAAAGAAGTTTCTACAAGAAAACCTTGTTTATTATCTAGCTCTGCAGTTCTAGGATAATATAAACCAAAAAATAATAAAACCTAATAATAATAGCAATGAAAATAACAACAGAATATTGCCAGCAGAAAAGTAGACATGGAAGATAAACAAAGCATGCATCCTTGACTACACAAATACAAAATTAATGTGCAAATACATTCATAAATTAAAGCATTGAATTCTGCTCACTGTTATTTCTGAAGCTGCCCAATTCTTTTTTTTTTTCCTGTGTTGTCCTGAATTATAGCCCAGTCTTATGAGAATTCCATGCAAAAATTTCATTTAACTTGCAATTTTCATTAATTTTAGTAAAAGTAATCATTGGGACTGCTATATTTAGTATAGAACATAGATTTTATTTCTTCTTTAAAAATATTGATAATCTGA